TTGCCCAAACTGTTAATTTAATAGAATAAAAAAAGGATCACAAGATACTTTCCCCTCACCACACTCCTAGTTCAGACCAATTCCTTTTGATACTTTGCTATAGGTGACTTGTAATTCAGAAAGGTGATGGGAGGGCTGGTCAATCCTGTAAGTCTGACCTTCTGGATTCCCTGGTGTGTTTCTAAAAAAAAAAAAAATTCCACTCCATTAAAACAGTGGTTCTTTTAAAACATTAGTATCTTCAGAGCAGTAAAATGAAAGTAGTCTGTAGCATCAGTAATTTTAATGTTGGTAGTCATCTTCCTATGCTTATGTTTTCTGTATTGCAGATGTGAAAACTGACCATGCAGGTAGGTGTGGTAGATGGAAAAAGAAGAAAAATTAGAAATTAAGTTGTACATCATTACTAACCCAGGTGTATTTTAACTGATGAGTAATCTTGTCACTAGTGGGAACTTAATTATTCCAGATTTTCTTAATCCAAGTAGCATATAGTCGGCTGTAAACAGCGGTCACTACAGCATGGCATCATGATACCTTGTTTCTTCTTCTTTGTCCCTCAGCTTGCTCAGAGAAAAATTCAGGAAATACTGGCTCAGGTAAGAAGGCAGCAGCAACAGCAAAAAACATTGCAAAGCGGACAGCCTCAGCCAAGACGAAAATAAAGGTTTAGAAAATGGCCCATCAGAGACAGATGCCAGACCAAAGACAGACTGTGCGACAGAGAGACGGGTGGTGAACACCTGTTGAAGTTATATGCAGAAGATCCACCAAGCCAATCACCTGTTCGAGGACCAGGCAACCGTTGAACGCTGTCTCTGAGAATGTATTCTTTAGGCTCTCTCAAACTTTTGAAACCCAGCTTTAAAATAAGGACCCCTTCACTTCCCTTTTGTTCTATTCTCACAATTTAACATAAACTCGTTAGTCTTTTTTATTGTTCTTATTATTCCCCAACAATTTTAGAACTTGGTTTAATGAAGCTTTCTCTTCTGAGTTCACTGGTTTAAAAAAAAAAAAAAGAAAAGGCATTGCTCTTATAGGTCCAGTTGTAAAAGAAGAAACACATTTGGAGGGTGGGATTGTGGGTGGGCTAGGGTTAGAGCAAGGGTATTGACAAGAGTTTAAGTGTTAGTCCCAACGTTGAAACAAGTGGCATTTTTTAAGGAGAATTTGGTTGCATTTTTACATAACACTGCCATGAATAACCTAAGGGAAGTGTTGAATGGTGTTGGCCAGGGCATAAAAAGATAAATATGCATTTTACTAAACTACCTCAGGCATTTAGTACCTCAATGAGAAATTGTTCCTTTTTTGCTTTTTTTTTTTGGTATTTTGTATACTTTATAAAGCTAATAGTTCTTGAGCATTTTATTTTTTTAAAAAAAAATTAAAATTTGATCAGCCACCAGCCAGGAGTACTACAGACTTATCGGGGAAAAATATAGTAGAGCGCTTCTAGCTGCTGGCTGATGGGAGTAAGGTGGGTAAAAAAAACATAGCCTCAGATTTTCTGAGGGCTTCAACACCATCATTTGTTTAAAAAAAAAATTCAGTGAATGTTCAAAAGATAGTGAATGATGCCAACATTCTGATAGCAGCAATGCCGTTTAGTTTTCTTTTAAGATGGGATGAAAAAGTTTGTGACGGTACTTTTTTGGGAACAGGACAAGGAAGTGATGGCAAGAGGCTGGGGTTGGGGGAAAAATTTAGAAGGCTGCAAGAGGCTGAATTTTTTTTTGTGCTACTTGATTGAATGCATGAACCCTTTGTGCCTTTGACCATCACTACCTAATAATGCTACATTTAACCATTTGCAGCCCATTTGGACTTTGCCATTTTGTTCAAAGAGCAAGCTTCATCTTCAGTTTGATAGAACACTTGATCCGCTAGAGCGTATTGGAGGCCACGAGGGTCTCTGCTGTCTGCGGATCACATCATACTGCTTTCAGTTACCACGATGGGGGAAGGTCAAACAGTGTTTGATCACATTGAAAGATAATGAAAGGCTAAGTTTACATATCCAGCCGCTGTTATGGGCCACACTAAGCCACTTTGAAGGTTTTAAAAATTATTACAAGAAAAAAAAAAAACCACAAAAACAACCACCTCTCTAGCCTGGCTTATAATAGATGCAGCAGGATTTATGCACATTCTGCAACCAACCATTAGAGAAGAAAAAAAAAAATGTCAAAAGGCAGGGATAACAGGAAAGTTACCAAATTTTTTAATTTCCGAATGTAATTTGAATGATGATTGTGGTAATAGTGACACATTCAAGTTTCTACAATAAACTTCAGTCTACCTCAGTTTAAGAAAAAAAAAAAAAAAATGTGGCAACACATGGTGCATAAAGACTGCTGTGTGTGTGTGTGTGCGCGTGCGCGCCTGTATGTGTGTGGTCGACAGAGCCATGCTATTACCTCTGAACCTTTTTTTGTGATGTTTTTTGTGCATGAGATGATCAGAATCACCATGCTGCACTGATTTGAGGGGCACAACGAGCTAAAACATTTGTTTCATCATTTTGTTATCTACCTCTTAGGTTCATGTTGAAATAGAGGCATTACTACATAGACTTAGATAATCTTCCCAAAGATCATTGTTGTACAGATTAGATAATTTTGAAAATGGTCTGAAGTGTTTTTCCTGCATCTCTTCTTTACTAATTGGTTTAAAAACCACAAACTTATGTTGTAGTTTTAGCAATGAAAAATGAGTTTCTTTTCCTTTTTTGACAGTGACCTTCATCTAGCCTTTAGAGGATTTTTTTTTTCTTACAATGAATTTAAAATTACTGAAGTATGAAAAGTCATAGCATTTTAATTTTTGTTGAGGCTTAAGTCAGTCTGATGTTCCTTTCTTAACATTTGAGAAGGATTTGACTTCATTATTTTCCATAAAAATTCCTTTACAAATAGGCGCTGCATTTACATCTGCTGATTTAAATACTGTCATCTCTTAAATTCCTAGACTTAGTATGGTAAATCATGTTTTTCTTTTCAATTGAGACTTGGTAATTTGGAGTATTTGGGAATAGCTAGAAAGTAAATACTGTAAATGATTTCAATATCCACAAAGTATGGATCATTTTTCATCTGTAATGTGCCCCCCAATGCAGCTCCACTTGCCAGATGCCTCTGAATGGAATAAAGAGTTTAACTCCTATCATCAGATAAAGTTGTGTGGTGTTTTTTTAAATTTGAGGCATAAGGACAGACTGTTCAAGTATCTGTGGTACTTTGATCAAGTTGGTTTTCTGTCCGTAATAATAACTGGATAAGGATGAAGTCACCCAGAGGTATTCCATAGCTGCCAGGGCATCCAGCAGCCAGGTTACGACATTTGCATTTCCCAACACAAGCAGTGACTTCTCTGGCTTACAATTCATCTTCTCTCTCTCAAATCACAATGTTATAGTCTGTAGTGCAACCTGTAGTTTGCGGTTTCAGTGTTAAGCAGATCACTTAGGCTGATTTGCTGTGGAAGGAATGTGTACTCAACTGCCCTGACCCAGGGCAAATATGGAGGAATCTTTTAACAAGTTTGAAATGAGATCTGAATAGCAGTTAAATTTTTGGGGGGGGGTGGGGGGGCTGCTTTTTACCCAGTCTTTACCTTGGTGCTCTCAGGGTGACTGAAGCTGTGTAACGGGCCTAGAAGCTTGGATAGGCAGAACCAGTCACACAAGCAAACAGATGTGATGGCAACCTGTATCTCACTCCCACCACCACCACCACCCAGACGCACAGCTCTTGCCAGTGAGGCAGTCTCACCTCTCCAATTATATCTTTGTTAACACTGTTTGGAATAGAAATGACACTAGATGAGGACTTTAGTGTGAGAGGGAAGGGTTGGGGAATGAAGCGCTGTCATGAATAATATAATTCTGTACCTTTTGAAGAGTAGTGGAAAACCAATCTTGTTTTCCAAACTCTTGAACCCTCCCACTTGTCTTTACAGCTCATTTACTGGGACCAACCAGCTGAAAGAGGCAATTGAAATTATGTCTGCAGAAGACACTGCATAGGGTGTTGCATTTCACAGGCACCTCTGTGCTCATTTTTCCATGCTGATATTGAGCTATCTTCTCGGAATCGGCATCGCTACCATTTGAGCAACATAAGAAGCCTTCCTCTGTATTGCTCGTACATTTGTGAGAGCTAAACCCCAAACTGTTTTAAGCATTTGCTTAATCATGATGCTTTTATTTGCTTCTAACCTGTCAAAGCTTTTATTCTTAAGCTGCAATTTCCAAGGCATGCGCTCTTTGTATTAGTTTTCATTAAATGAAGCATGTGTGCTGTGCAGGACAGTGTGGTCTCAACATGGTACCAGGGCATAGGATTTTTAAATGAACACAAAAACTTGTAGAGTTAAACACTCAAGCTGGGCTGCAACAGAGAGTTAGCTCAACTCATGGATGCAAAAACTGCTTGGTAACAAAGTTACTCAAATGCAGGTCAGCAAATTAGTGAAATGATGATTAAAGTCCCACCTTGGTAGTTGTTTATCCTGTTCATCCCACCATCAAGGCAACCTGCACTGAGCCAAACCTGCATGTACCTCAGTACAGGAGGACTGAATAATGAATCTATAGTTGATGAACAAACTGCTCAATATTTTTATTTTGCACAGAAATCACCTGTTCCATAGAACTTAAGCCATTCCCAAAAGTTTTTCTTCCAAAAGGTGTTTAATGTTGCACAGTACTGATCTTCCAGTCTTTGTTAGTTCCTAGGTCCCAGCTTTTAAGAGGCTGAGGCCAAAGGCTCACCAAGGTCAGTCAGGTAACCTGGCTGTGGCACCATGGTAACTCAGGACAGGTTGACTGCTGCTGTGAAATGGGGGTTGAGGAAGTGTCTGCCTTGAGAGGGCAGCTGATCATTTAACAGCAACCAGTGGATGTACATAGCTCCTTTTCACCATGTGCTTTGACAGTAAATCCAGCTATACTTTTTATTTTCCCCTTTTGTCTTCCCTGTTAATTTTTTTTTTTTGGTCTTGTCTTACTGACTATTACCACTTTTTGGCTCTAAGAGTCCTAGTCTGTTCACATGGAAGCTGTTCCCTGTCTCTTTGCTTCTCTTTTCTGGGTGCTCCTTTTGTTACTGCTCTTTGAAACAGGATACGGTATGGGTTTCTGATTACTAGATGTGGGTTCATATGACATAATGTTTGCTGAACCTGCTTTTATTCATCTAGCATTACTTATCTTCAGCAGCAGCAGTAAAAGGCAAATGGTTTCAGGGAATGATCCAAAGTTACTCCTATGTATTCTTCCTAGGAAGATTTAGAACACACCACTCTGTAAGATGGCCAAGGTTATCTTTCCCCCATGTGGATTGCTTATAAGTATCATGAAGCATTTTCAAAATTTTTCTTTGCAGTCAGACTTAACACCAATACCTTTATTTTGTAGGCAAAGATGTTTTATCTGCATACTTCAACTACATTTAAGAAATGCTCCTTGCTTAATTTGCTGATCTGTTCCCTTGTATCAGTAAGCAGGTGAGCTCAGGGGCAGTTATTCCTGAAAGAGGATGGACACGGCAAGAAAACATGACCAGTCTGAAATGAAGGAGGTTTTTTGGTTTGTGTGTTTTGTTTGTTTTAAAAATACACATGCCATTCCTCCTCAACACCACAACCACAGGCACAGAAAACCAAAGATGCTTTCTTTGAGCATTACAAGCAACTGCTGTACAGGGAGGAGATGCAGACAGGGCTTAAAGCAGTTTGTGGGGCTATGGAGGAAAAAAGGTGATTACCCTCAGCATCTTACTCTTCCAGCTTCCTGATGCATGGCAGAGCAAGCTTCCCCAGAAGGAACAGATCCTAATCTAGTGATGAAAGCCCTGTCCTGTAGTGGAGAAAAGCACCTTGTTTTACATAGCTTCAAGATGGTAACAGAACCTCTTCTAACTAACTGGTTATTAGACTGCAGCAGTCGGACTAAGAACACACTGTGCAATGACTTCTGAAAGTGCTGAACAGGCCATTAGCAGCAAGTAATGCTCAGTGCCTAAGGATTCCCTTTAGGACTCTTGCCCACTTCAAAGGAGCTGAAGGTTTACACTGCCAGAGCATGTTGCCTCAGTGTCCTTTTTCCAGAAACCAGGTGACAGGAAAACTACAAGACCTGACTGCACACTTAAATGTTTTAACATGAAGACAAGGAATTGAAGCTCTTCAGTTCTTTTTATTATTATTAGGAACAGACTTGGCTGAAAAACTGACTTACAGTTCTGTTAAGACACTTTTATTTGTCACTGCTGCTCTTGGCTTTTATGTGCTCAGTAAGACCAGTCTGTTTTCTCTCCTCCTTCAACTCAGAACATGATTTGCTTCATTGTGACCAGAAACAAATGGCTTAATACAAGAAGCCTCATCAAAACTGTACTACTACACATAGTTTTTCCTTGCAGCACTCAAGTCTTTTTTACGCTGCCTCTCCAGGCATGTCTTTCAAAGAAAAACTATTACTGTAGAGGCTGAGCATAAGTTTCAATGTAAGTAGCTTAAGTAGCTGTCTTTGCTTCACTCTTCTTACTACAGGCTCCACTGAGACAGTGGCTCCCCCAGGAAGTTCCTTTATGCTAGGATTCCTTCTTTGACATTTTACAGTTAATCTTAAGGGTCTTTTCCAACCTTAATGATTCTATGATTCTGATAATTTTTGTAGCTTGTTCAGAACTTCACCTAGGCACATCCAATAAACACAGTTTTGTACTGATCAACTGTAATGACTATTAGTTCAGTAATCATAACTATATGTCTGTCTCATCTTTGAGGGCACAGTCATTTCTCTTTCCACCCAGCAGCTGCATTAAGTTTTTGTCTCAAGCTGATCACTGCTGTTAGGAGTCAGTCCAAATATAAAATCTTCTGGCAATGATTGTGGAATCATCTGTGCTAACTGGTCATCGTAGGAACCAAGAGTCCATAGCTTCTCCAATTCGTAAGTGTCCCGTGTCTCTGGCAGCATGAAATGTATCACTATGCTACCTGCACAGAACAGAAATTCACAACAAATTAAGTCAGCTGTCAAGCACTGCTATACTTCCAGTTGCAGAGTTTAAATCTTCCACCCCCATTGTGGCTCAATATAATGGGTCAGCTGATGGAGGTCTCTTCTGAAGTTGCTGATTCCAGTTCTTGAACACTGTTAGGAACTGGTCAGTTCTTCAAAAGACTCCAAGCCTACAGCCAGGAGAATGAGAGGGACAATATTCTGATTTAAATTAATATTATCACAGGACTCCAGACCAAAGAAGTTGTGACTTCTACGGGACAGAAGGACATCAAAAGAAATTTTACTTAAAAGAGTCCCCTCCCTGAGGTTACAGATGGACTTTAAGCTTTTTTATCTGACCAACAACATACAGCTCTAGCCAAGTAATTTCCCTGAGGTGTGTTGCTCACCATTCTCAGGCAGTTTTTATAATGAAACAGGTCCAAACTTTGACATAATAAAGTTTTTCTTACAGGTTTTCATTAATTCCATGCAAACAATAGTGGAGAACAATGCCAGTGTATGTCTAATGCACTTCTTTCTAGTTACGCCTTTAAATGTCAATCTGTTTTCAGTTATAACTATCAAAATCATTGACAGTAACGTAATCAAGTCTTAAGATCACTGGCTGCAGTGCCCCTCACCCACCCATGCTCTCTTTTAAGCCAAAACACAAAGTCAGAGGGTGAGATTCTAGAGCTAGTAATGAAGAAATGCTTTCTGAATGCAGAGTCTTTTATGTCTGTGTAGCAAGTTTCACAGCCACAGAATAAAGAATTAAACTCAGTTTCTTAGGACTGAGGTTTTATACTGTGTCATGATATGATCTGGACAGTAGAAAAGTCTGCTTAACAGTTCACTATGAGGGCAGCATACAAAAAGCCACACACCCCCCCCAACAGGGATTACATAAACCTCAGAAAAATGACTGAAGTAACTTTTCTCTTTCCACTACTGTTATCTTCAACTTAGCAAGACCTGTTTTAGCAACTGAAGAGTAGTTCCTGCTTCCTTCTTAGTGCCAGTGACTTTTAGTGAAAATTTATTTAGTGTCATGAGTTCAAGCAACAACTGAAATTCCAAAACAGCAGAGTACTGCGAGCAGGCTTTACAGCGAGATGCTTCTTTCAAGAAAGAGCTCATGCAGAACTTCCTATTTGTCAGATTCACAAATATTTACCAAAATCAATGCACAGCCAGTCATCTGTTTCTTTCCCTTCAATCTGAGTATGAGGATCACTTTCTTCTTTGCGATGCTTGTACTGAGAGAAGAAGCAAGGGCAGAAAATTAAATACTTTGCAAGTATTTAAAAGCACTCAACAGATAAGCTGAGCTTTGCTGAGTCACCTAGAGTTGTTTTAAATCTTAAACGGGTTAGACTCCTTTGTGTTGGTTCTGGGGTCTGCACAAATAAAGAATAATATATACTTGCAGCACTGGAAAATAAGTACAGATTTCATCCTAGCACTCAGAATTCCCATACAGTTATCCATGAATTTTATAAGTGTCCATTTTTTTCTCAAGATGAATATTGAATACAATTACTTAACATTAAAGTAGTCTTTCAATTATCAGTTCTGTAGCTGCCATTACCACTCAGTTTTATTTCCCTTCCGATACCTTTAATAGTTTGTTTTACACTGGCTAGTTAAGGATGCAGAAATAGAGATGCCAAGGTTATCTTCTTTTCAGATGGGAGCAGGGAGAGAACAAGTTCCACCCATGCCACGAGGAAGGCATTCAAACAAACCTCCTGTCTCTTGAGTGCATGCTCTCAACACTCATTGCAAGATGGGAGAAAGCACAACTGGCACAAAGGTTTCCAAGCTACAAACCACCTGGGGAAAAGGGAGGGGGCAGCTCAAAGCACAATGGCAAACTCTCAGGTAGGGCAAGGTAGTTATTTCCCTATGCAACATGGTGGCTTTCATACATGCTAGCTGGAGAGGCTCAGCTCTCCCCACCTAGTACAGAAAGAACCTACGCACTCACCAGAGCTAAAGAAATTTGACAACTGGAGGCTTAAGTACTGTCATTCTGGGATCTGGCCATAACCTACTTGTTTCTTTACAAGAAGCATCACTAGGAAAAAAAAAAAAAAAAAAAAAAAAAGTCGACTACATATTCACAGAGCTCCTTTATTCTACTTTATTTCTAGTTGAAGCAGCCAATAAAAAAATATGGAAATCTTTTTCAAGCTGAAATTAAAAACCAAACCAAACATTTATCTCAGCACCTGTCCACAAGGAAACAGAGAGTGTAACTGCATGGCTCTAATAGTCCTTCCTACCATGGAAGACAAAATAAAAAATAACAGGTTGTAACAGCATGGCTGGCTAGCAAATGAGTCCCGCTTCACTGGGAAAGCAATTATCACAAACCCCAACTGTTCCTGGTGGTTCCCCCACAATGCCGGCTGCTGGACAATGGCCCCAGTTCACAAAACAGAATGGAGAACTTTCAAAATGCAATTCAGAACTAGTTCTACCTTCCTTTCTTTAAGATAGCCTATGAGATATCATCAAAAGCACGTAATTGTCAAAGACTCTCTGAAAGTCTGTTTAAAATACTGAAGAGCCCGGCATGCACTATCATCAGCTATGTAACACAGGCTGGAAAGGCTGATCTTTGCTACAAGTTTCCTTCAGTCTTGTCTTTAAAGGCTCTGTAATGGTGAACAGATTATAATGAAGTCAAAGATTAGCTTCTTCCTCCAACAGGAAACCAGACAGGAAGGGATATGCAGTGTCCCACTAGGGACTGCCATTTACAAGCTACTGGAAGAAAACCAGGACGACCTCATGCTACACATGAGCACCTCTGCACTTTAGTGTGAGTAAATCATGATTTACCATAATGTTTCAGATAGTGTAATGGTGAAGCTAGCCAGCTGCCTAGTAGCAGCACTCCTGAGCACCCGCTCTACTTTCCATCTGAAGCTTCAGCTTACTTTTTGCATAGAAAACTTTCAATGCCAGACAAGGTGAGCCACTCTTGAGTACTTGGCCAGACTTCCCGGTTTCTCAGGATGCCCAGGAGGATGCCACGTCTCCCCAGAGGCTCTGACCTTGCAAAAGAGCTGGTCTCAGAGCCACCAGAGGGAGCAGTTAGTTGTAGCACAGGCATGTTTTTGCAGGGTGGGTGGTACTCCCTCCTCTCACCTCCTCTGAGGGAGACCAAAAGCTGTTGATTTGAGACTAGCAAGTGATAGAGTACATATTAAGTGCTTAAATTTAGTACATTCAAATCACACTAATACAACTTCTAGCTTGAGGCAAAATTTTAGTTTGCAAAGTTGCATCAGTTCCTGCAGAGAACACAAGAAACTTCCATTATGTGCTCAGAAAGGCACTGAAAAGCAATACCATCTCCCCCTCTCTCCTCAAGTAACAGCTGAAACCAATGGGACTGGAAGGAAGAAAGTAAAACCATGGGTCAAAGGAAAAATGGGGTCAGGACGGGAAAGAAAGCACATGAAGAGAAGACAAACTACAGATTGAATACAGACACCTGACTGAGATGGGGGTTTGAGATGGGGGTTGGTCACATACCTCACACTACCAAACAGTGCAAGGTTTCTGTACAAGGATGGCTGCTGCTGCCTCTCCCTTCCTCCTGTACACGCACAGTATGGTGACTATGAACTAGCAATTTGCCTTAGTAAGCCCATGAGGGGGTCCCCATGCCTCATAACATGACATCTTTTTTCCAGCCTTATGATACACCTAAGAACCTGGAAATTTTAGGGATTAGGGTTTGAGAACAGTCAGATTAAGCTATTTGGAATGAGTGCAAATAGCTATGAAGCTTGCTGGATGGAAGACAATAGGTCAGGACATAGGTCGTCATCACCATTTCACATCACTCTTGTTCTAGCCACCCAATCGTGCTAACGTCACCACTGTACTAAATACAGAGAGGTTTGTTTTTAAAATATATACTCTACATTTTGAGTAGTACTGCTAAAGGAAATAAGTACAAGTAGTTGCTAGATGTATTCAGGACTAAATGACATCAGGATAAGTAATTTTATCTTGCCTGGTACACCCCTATACATGCAATCCTGGAGAAATTCCTTTCACAACAATTAAAGCATTCCCCAAAACCCAGAGAGTGCAGTGGGAACTGTCTTACCATTTTCAGCATGTAATGTGCCATCGCATGGAGATGTCGTGTTGAAGATCCGCTCACAATTATAAAATAATTACAGTATTTTATTTCTGGAGGTAGCTGGATGACACAGATGTCTTTAGCATTTTCTTGCCTCAGCAGAGCTACAACAAAGTCAATGTTGAACTTTGGAAGGACAGTACCTGGCACAGATAGAAAAAATAATACAGTGGCAATTTTATCTTTTTGATTCCAAAAATCAACCTCTTAAGACTACATAAAATTACAGCGAACCAAATTATAGCACAACCTAGTCACTCATTGTGAAGTTTGGTTTCATACTGACAATGCAACATGAATAGCATATTTTTAAAAATAATTTTTAAACCCATCAAAATAGAGAACTAAGCACTCTTCTGGTAAATAAATAACACTACCACTAGATTTAGCAGTTAGCAAACATCAGAGTTTCTTTTAGGTAAGTTACTTAATTCATGTTGTTAGTACTTAAGAGTTAATGCTATCATCAGGTATTTATCAATTAAGATGAATGAAATCTAAGTACTTCAACAGACATTATTAACACAACAGACAAAATTAAAAGCATTTCAGAACAATGCTTTTCGATGAAACTGCTCTAAAATCTTAAAAAGATTAAATCAATATATTGAAAACAGAGCTGACGTGATACAGTGTGAAGGTAAGTTTCATCTCCACACTGAGTAAAGCCACTTATTTTCTTTTTCCCTAGTCTGTTCTGCCAGAGGATTGTGATATTGTAGATAAAGGTTCAGTCCTTCAACAGTTTAAGCAAGGTAGCTTAAAAACTAGTAAGTTTGTGCAACTATCTTCTGCTCACACCATGAAATCAGTTTATTTCTAATTTGTTCTTATTACGTAGATGCAACTTGTGTGCATACTCAAGGCATAATCTAAATCTGTCAGCAGTGCATGCCTGCCACTGTAAAGTGAACCTTAGTGCAGACTGAGCATCAGCACAAAGCCAAGCTTCATATTTACCAATATAAAGAAAAAGCCAAACAAAAGAACAATAGTTACATATTATATGCATGAATGGGGATATGAAATTGGGTCAGATCTTTGTAAATGAAAGCCTTTGAGCTTAGGGACTCATGCACTCTTTCAACTTTTGCTGTGGTCACACATGCAGAAAATTAGCAGTGGCCACAGCTCCTCCGGACGCAGCGGTTACAAAAGTTAAATATTTGCCTGGTAGCCACATGTGAAGTCTCTAGTGCCTACTTAGAGAACGAATGGTCTAAACAACCCCAGGCACACTCTGCCACACTGCACGTCATGGTTACATCTAGGCTAGAGAAGATTTGCAGAAGAGCTACAACAAGAAGCCAGCTCTGTGCACTGACAACAGCTCCGTGTCTTATACCTGTAACCAGCCCTTGTGCTGCTAAAATTGTTACCTGTACAGGGAAACTTATTTGAGAGCGTACATCAGAGAGACACACCTCCCACTCGGCACCACTATCCTCACAGAAGTTCCTGTATGTATCTACACATAGGCTTGGTCTACGGTAGCCACCGACTCCCCACTTTACAGCGGGGCTTAGAAGGCGATGGCGGTTCAGCACAAACGCCGTGACCCGGCGGCCTGTGGTCTCAGCCGAGGTAAGGGCGATTCCATCGCACCGCACACCCAGGATCCCCCCGCGGCTGCAGAATTAGATTCCAGGCATCCCCAGCACTTACTTTCTTCCCAAGGGGCTACGTTTTGCTCAGGGCACCAATTCACAGAACTGGGGGGCGCAGGGCAGCGCTGAGGGCCTTCGGCCCCCTTGACATCCCACCTCACGACCACGCCCGGGCCTGCCGGGCCAGCGCCTTATCTGGCGCCGAGGCCGTGACAGCAGCGCTTCAGCCCCGCGCAGTCCCCAGCCCTGAGGGCGCTGCGGCAGCGCCTTCCCAGCAGGGGAGGGCCCGCTGACACAGGCGCTCCCTCATCCGCTGCGAGGCCGGGGGCCTGCGGGAACCCTGGGAGAACAGCTCGAGAGCGATTACACTTAACAGCCACGAGAGAACCAGACCGAAGTCCGAAGCGGGAAGTCTCAAGGACCACGACCGGTGTGGCGCACGGAGAGGCCCCTCCGGTTTACCCCGGCAGCTCGGCCCCTCGGCTAGGCCGCCCTTCGCTGGGCCCTACCTGCCGCCTGGAGCTGCTCCGCCGCCGCCACCACCCCCAGCGCC